ATTGGTACTGATTTGCATTTCTCAAGTTATCAATTTGATCAAATTCGTAGGTTTTAGCTGGTTTTTACTACAATTGAGTTCAGATTACTAAAATTGGGGCAAACTCGATTCAAATTCCATTCTGATTTATTCGTTTATACACAAAATAAACGAACTAAAAAGATTTTTTTCTTTCCCGATTTGATCCTTTTTATATATGCAAAGTCAACAGCTTTCCGTTATGTTCTTAATATGTATTCAATTTCAACCTTTCATTAACCTACTTACATCTTTTTCTGAAATTGGCTATAAAAACTTTCATCTAATACCTTGTATCTTGCATTCTTACTTTGACATTGTTCATTCTTTATTACATACGCACTTACTATATGCTCAATGCCTTATATAGGTGGGATTCTCTGTTAATGGAGTTATAATCACGAATTCCAATTCTTTTGGAATGGAATCATGAATTCTAATTCTGTTGGAATGGAGTCATGAATTCCAATTCTTTTGGAATAGAATCATGAATTCTAATTCTGTTGGAATGGAGTATGGATTTTTTTCTCACTGATTTATGCATGTTCTACAATTCTTGGTTATTGGTTTTGGTGCAATTCACAAGTCCACATATTTTTCCAAAGGAATTTAGTTTTTTATTTTTCATTTGCTAATGCATTATTGGAATCTAAACTACAATTTGGTTTTGTTTTCACAGAAGTTGATGCTTGAAGAACGGACCACAAAATTGAAAGTGATTCTAAGCAACATTATTCTTTTACAATGTATTAGTGTCGTTGTTAGATTTTGATGTTTTCTTTCCCGTTTTGAAAGTTTTTTTAGTTTTATTCTTTAACAATAAATGTAATTCTTAACAATTGTTACCCGTATTCTATAAGAAATTATGTATTTATTGTTTTTATTCTTCAATTGATGGTTCGAGAATTTGTTATTCTACAAGAAGTTTTAAAGTCATGATCATGAAATAGGTTCAAGAATATTTTTTTTATTTATGGTTCAAGAATATTTTTATTTTTGAATATACTCAAACATATTCTGTCAGAATGTCCGAATTAAAAGAATTATAATTCGTAAAATCGGATTTTTAAAATTAATAGAATCTATGATCTCTTAAAATATGCAATTTTCCTTTATTAAATCTATATTAATTGACTAAAATACCCTTGTAATTAAATTATATGATATTTTTCAATTATATTTAATTCAATAATATATATTAATCACTTTCTTAAAATAAGTAAAATTGATTGGCCCACATTTATGCATACAATAACACAATAATTACTTTGAATAGAATAACCTAAGCCTATATATATATATATATATATATATATATATATATATATATGTCGAGCTAGTGGGAGTGTTGTTCTTTTTCTTATTTTGTATGTCGATGACATACTACTCATAAGAAATGATGTCCCAACTTTACAAAGTGTGAAAACTTGGCTTGGGGATTGTTTCTTTATGAAATTCTTAGGAGAAGCACCATACATGTTAAGTGTAAAGATTTATAGAGATAGATCTAAGAAAATCATTGGATTGTTGTCGAGAACATTCTCATGAATCTAAGGAGGACAAATGATATGTTTTGATTTATGGAAGAGCTCGGTCAAAAGAGTTATATCGATGCTACTAGCAGACTGATAGAGTCAGTTTAAGTTCGCAAATACGATTCATGTTCTTACTGAATTGTGGATCAGTGACTTAGAGGAGTACCAAACAGGGCACCGTAGTGGACTTGACAACAGAAGTTAAGTATATTGGAGCTAGTGAGGCTGTAAAGGAGGCTATGTGGCTAAAGAGGTTTATCAGAGATGTCAGTGTTGTTACAATCGTTGACGGTCCTGTTGAGATCTTTGTGACTATAAGGGCGTAGTCGCATTGACTAAGGAGCCCAGATCACACAAGCACACAAGGCATATACTCAGTAAGTACCATCGTGTTTGACAATTATTCAAAAGTAAATACATCATAGTTAGTAGAGTTATACGAGAAGAGATTATTTACGATCCATTCACTAAGCCACTCTCATAGACCAATCATGATTATCATACTATGTTGAAAGGCATTACATTTTCAAATGAATTACTTGAGTGTGTTTAGTTTATTTTGACTTTATTTTGGAACTTATAAAAGGTAAATCATTATCTGATTTGGAAATTATTAAGTGGAGATCTTAATATATGTTGGAGAGCAGTCATTTCATTAGTTTACTGTTGTGTTCCATTTGCATGTTTAACCAACTTTTAGAATATTAATTTATTCAAAGCTTCCACGATCAGTCATACTTCTAGAAGTGAGTAGTGATTTAAGACTATCATGAGGTATTAGTAGATTGTCCTAAAAGATCTTGTATGCCCAAGAGTCATTATAGAATGATATTGTTAATAACATACGATCCTATAGGGTCACACCTTATAGTAAGTTACCACTAATTGATTATTTATTAGTATAATTTGATTATTAATAAATAAAAACACTTGTATTTAATTGGAAACATACTATTTGGGAAATAATATTTTACCAATACACTGTAAATTATTATTCATATGAAATAATAATATAGAGAACAAAACTAGTAATATATCATATGGTATGATTATTTAAGTTATGTACAAAGATTTAATCACTTTGATTAATTATATACTTAGAATGTAACTAACTAGTTAAAGATAAAGTAATGATCAATTGAGTTTTGTCCCTTATTATTATATGGAGGAGACATGCTTTTCATTTGTTTATTCTATATACCATGCTTGTAAGAAAGCCTTACCTCTTACTTTATTGTCTAGCCTTTTGACCATGCTTTTGAACATATATGAAAGGCATAAGACAAGGGTTAGAGCTAGCTTTTCTTCACTCTTTCTATTCATTTAGGGGCAGCCAAAATTTTGTAGATAGCATGCTCTCTCCCCTCTCATATCTTGCAAATTTTGTTGCTTGTTCTTGGTCCATAAAGTTGCTTTTCTTTAAGCAATTATTTGGTATAAGTCTTAAAGATTAAGAACAACTTTATTACAAGTGTTTACTAGCATATTTTGGTGGTTCAAATCTTGCTTGGTGGATACATTATAGAGAACTTCTACTTGGAGTTTTAAAGTCATCTTCATTAACTTACTAATTGCCAAAAGGAACCAAAGTCTTCAAATATTTTAATATTTTATTCTCCTTTGGTTATTTTTAATCTTTCTAAGTTCTAGCAAAATGATCATTAGTGGGTATAAAATGGTTTTAGTTTATTCAAACAAAAATATTTCTGTTGTTAATTACGTCTAATTTTGTGACTATAATTGGACTATTTTTGAATAAAAACCCAACATGCCCATGAAGATAGATATAACATAGATATGTGATTAATTCTCATGTGTACTTATGAAGATTAATTATTAGAGTAACACGTACTTAGAGATTACTTCATGGAAATTGTGATGAGTAATTCTGTAACATCCATAAAAATCATGACAAATATAAACTTTTTAAAACCAATCAGAAATCATAATTGTTTACAAATGTAATTTTCAAAACAGGTTTAACATCAGAGTTTTCCCAAAATCATGAAACAGAACACGAGGAGGTGCACGATCACGCCTTCGCCTTTCCGCGATCATCTGAGGTATCTGAAACATGACCAAAATTGTAAGTCCAAAGCTTTGGTTTGAGATCTCCCTCATTCAAGACAAATGAAGAAATTAACGCATACACACAAGCAAGTTATTGATTCGATCCATACTTCTAGATATAAGTTTTTATTGCTAAAAGGTCAATAGAACAAGACCTTTGATGAGATATGATGATCAAGTTTTATATTTCATGATTCCGTTGTTTTATGCTCTAATGATCATCATAACCAAACTAAAAAGATTTATTATACTTTTACATTTGAATTAAATAAAAATAGTTGATTTAAATTCCAAGTTGGTTGGTTTTGAATAACTAAATTAACATTTAATTAATTAGTTAATAAATTAGGTCAAAAGTTTAAGTTAGGAAAAGAATGACATACATGGATGACCAGATGACTTGTATAAAAATTAGGGATATTGGTACAAGTGAATACGGTGATACTGAATATATATAAAAAAAAATAGTCATTCAGCTAGCTAAAATTTTGAAGTTAATATTATGTTTATAAATGTCTTTTTTTATAGAATAAAAATTTATGAATTATGATATATTTGTTTTTCCCAACAAAAACTAAACACTAAATAAAGGTGTTATGGGGAAATCAATATAATAATCAACATAGAGTCGTAGATTAAGTACCTAAATGCTCTTTGGCAGCTAAAAACTTCTCCCATTAATAGCCAAAATAATTTGTTTGTTTAGTGATCAAGATTGATTCTTACATTCTCATAAGAATTTTCGTGTTTATATATATATATATATATATATATATATATATATATATATATATGTTCGACATGTTCGATTAGACGATCACTAAACAAAATGGAGTCGGTCTTCAACTTCCAATTTATGTGCTAACAATGCTTTATTGTGTCTGTAATGATTGGGATGAAGAATTTTAAAAATGGGCCATAAGACACCTATACTATCAACAACAAACCAAAATAAAAAGGCTAGATGTATAATGTAACATGTGTCCTTTTTATATTCACTCAAATCACATCTTTTATTAACCTGTTTTTCTTAATTATTAAATACTCAAAGATGCCATTAGATATTCCCCAATTGCCAAACCACCATTACCATTTACCAATCGTATGTACATTCGTTTCCAATACGATTAAAATAAATCAACAAATCGATTAGTTTTCTGTCACATTAGAATGATTATTATGCACCCTGTCTAACAAACTAGATTCTTTAGAAAATAAAAAACAAATACATTCGTTTAGCCAAATAATATTCCTCAATTGAACTAACATAACATTTGCATCAAACAAAACAGATAATTAGTATACAATGATGTTTTACCATTTTAGCTGTATCAAACATGTTGAATGCTGACCGATTCAGATGTTACCAAACAACTTCTAAAGAAATCGTTGAAGAAAATCTTTAATCGTATCAATATACAGTGACTTTGTAGGAATAATATGACCAAAATCATGTTCCACCATAACCGAACACCCCTCCTCAAACATCAAAGCAAGTCTTCTACTCTCATCAAACCCTATTTGTCTATCTTTCCCATTATCACTCCCATATATATGAAGCGAAGGACACTTAATCAAACTCCCCTCACCAAACTCCCCAAAATTACCAAAATACCCCGAACACAATATCACAAATCTAAAACCCATCTCACCTTTCAAAGCAACACAAGCCGCCATAGCCGCCCCTTGTGAAAACCCCAAAACCCCATCAAACGGTCCTTCTTCCGCCACTTTTTCTCTCAAATAAACATACGACTCATCAAAACCGCCAGTCTGACGCTCGTACTGTCTACAATCAAAACGGTGGGCCCCACCCGTTTCCCAATCCGTACCCGTGTCCCCACCTTCGTCCACGTCATCATTCGGATCGATAAGCCACGCGTACTTTCTATTGCATCCGGATTTCGGTTGCGCGAATGCCACGTCAGCGTTTTCTTTCTCTTGGTAAATGAACCGAAGCTGATGTGGCGCGTCGATGTAAACAAACTCGGCGATGTTTTTTAGTTTTTTAACAAAAGACGCGGTTCGCCCTTTGAAACTAGACGCGTTTTGTCTGAAACCATGTAAGCATAAAATCCTAAGTTTTTTCCGAGGGGCAATAATGACATTTGAATTTTTTCCATGTTCAACAAGCTTACCATGTTTCTGACATAACTCACAAACAAATAACTTTCCATTTTTACCCTCGCACGCGTGGCACACCAACACCAACATCCGACAGTAATTGCATCGGCTTCTAGAAGAATAATCATCAAACGGGATTTCACAAACCAGACAACTCCCCAAGATTCTTGGATCTGAGCTGGCAACCGAAACCCTATGATCAAAAACAAAATTCTTTCCTTTGAAAAACCCACCTTCCGGAAACTCTTCCATATACCTTTGAATTCCTCCGTATAATTGAAAAACATTTTCAAAACCCTCCCCTTTAGATTTGATATAGGCAGATGCCACCTCACACCTAATGCCACCTGTACAATACATTAATATCTGTTTCCCGCGTATTTTTTCGGAATTATCATCAACCCAATTAGAAAGATCGCTATATTGTCGGATTTTCGGATCCAAAGTTTCAAAATTTGGAGAACAAAATTTCCCGATTCTTGTTTCGTATAAATTTCTCGCATCTAAGAGCACGAGATTTTGTTTTCCCGAATCTCGGGCAGTTTCAAGAACGGAATGGAATTCTCGGGCAGATAAATGCTGCCCGGCGTTTGAAATTGAGAGTTCGGGCGGGTTGGGAATTGGGCGGGAGGTGAAAGTGACGAGTTGTTTAACGATTCGGATTGAGAGAGATGTGAAACCGGTTTCTTGTGCTATTTTGTTGTTGTTTTTAGGGTTTGTGGATGTTGAGAGTTTGAAATCGGTTGAGGTGAAGGAAGGGTAGTTTTGGGTGAGTTGGGTGATGTGTTGTTTTAGAGAGGAGAGTTGACCGCCGATTGTGGCGTTGACTCCGTGAGGGGAGAGGCGGATGCGGCCGAGGAGAGAGAGGGAGGTGCAGTTGGTGGTGTAGAAGGTGGAGAGGTCAGTGAGATTTGGGATGTTGGTGTAGTTGTAGTATAATAGGATTCCATATTCATCGTCTTTTGTGGTGTTGTTATTGGTCATGATTGTGATGGATTATCTGCAACAAGAATGTTGTTTGGATTTTCAGTTTCAACATTTTTTACTCTCGTAATAAGCTGTTATAGCTTAATGTGATGATTGTTTTCTGTTACAACTTACAATAATACAGATCATATACATTTAAAAGCAGGACCTTTTTCTAAGGTGAAGAACCACTTGTGAATCATTTATATTAGAATGAGATTCTTCATATTGTTATTCACATAAGTTAAGAGTGAATCACTTATTAGGTGCATTATGGCATTTAATCAAGACAATGGAGCAGATATCCACATATTATCAAACAAAAAGAAGTAATTACAACAGCAAAAAGAATAGTAGGTGTAGCAGGGATACCTGTTTCACTACAAGGGAGATTTTTCAAATGCCAAAAGCTAGAAGCTGATGTAAGCCTTAACCTGCAACACCATACTAATACTAAAACATGGTTCAAAAGGGTAAACGGTGAAAGTAAAAAACATTTGAAGTAAGGTCATCCGCCCTTTGAGGCATATCAACAAACACCTTGCATGCTAAAACCGATAGAACAAAAATTCTAGGTACAGATTGTGGAAAACATACATAAAGATGAAGGGAACTTATACAATATAGAAAAGTAAAGATCTTCGTCGGTTTCTGAGAAATCTAACTAAAAAAAGATGAACCAACTGAAGAAAGGTTTTTATTTTAAGCACTTGTGCTCTTTAAAGATGAATGAAAGTGAATATAGTACCTAAACGATTTAGGAGCTTGTGGGTGCCATGGATGCGATTTGAATTGGATTCTAGGTGTTCGGATTCGGAAATTGACATGGTAGTTTCATCATCTTTTCCGGAGGGTTATTCTCTTCGAAACCTCAATTTGATTTCTTTTCGCCGTGCGAGTCCAGGCCGTCTGAACCAAATCGCGTTGATCGATTCACAATTTACGAAATTGAGTTAAAACCAAGTTTAATTTTACTATATTTATTTAGTGTTAAATGTAAAAAAAATTAAATATCTTTTTAAATTTTGTTTCTGTTTTTTTTTTTTTTTTTTTTTTTTGAACGTCGAATAAATTTTTATATATAAGAAAAACCCAAACAATAACAAGCTAGACTTAGTATGAGGTAGGAACAAAAAGGAAACAGAAACAAAAGTTATAGGCATTCATTAAGTAGAAATTTAAGATAAAAAGGAGAGCAACTCCATTCCGCCCAGCTTCCGAGTCCATAGTCCATTGACCCTGTACTTATTCCATTCGAATGATTGAGTCATGCATGACGAGTTTTGAGCATAACATCAATCATATGGTGCACATGCAAACCATGAAGCTTTGAATCTAGTTTGTCTAGTGTACATGCAATAATCATCCAAAGCTCATAAACCCTAGATCTAGCATACTATAATCGAAATTAACATGTAATTAGGGTTTAGATCTTACCGTGATTGTTATGTAGCAACAACAATCACAAACCTTCTTGATCTTGACTTCTGAAAGCTTAGTGCCTCAAATGTTGCACCTCTAATGGAGTCACAAACACCATTAGCAACAAGATGATTTAGGAGAGGGAGGAGGAGGCACAAAATTCGTCCAAGGGTTCTCTTAGAAGGTTAGGGATGAATTTTGGGAGCCTTAGGGTTCCTTTTATAGGTGAACTGCTAGGGTTTCAGTCAAAACCCTAATTGGATTGCTTAGCCACCAAGCAGCCCTTTAGATCCTTCCATAATCAAGGCCTGGACGATTTCTAAGTGGGCTTCCACCTTAAATCCGTCCACCTTATTCCTAAGGGATCTACAGCCCAAAACCAGTTATCTTATAATTGCAATTCCAGTCCCCTAAGTTTAATTAATCTCTTTTGACCACAAAATTAATTCTAAATTAATTCTTGATCAATATTAATTAAACAATATGATTTCTCCTTTAATATATTATTCATATAATATATTAATAAATCATAATTAATCCTCTTTCTCCATAATTCATCCTATTAGTTGCTATGGTGAAGGCAACCCAAAAGGACCATGCTCATAATCGGATCAAGTACATACCAAAATAGTTATGGGCTTAGACACCTAATCCAACAGTCTCCCACTTGGATAAGTCTAATAACTATTCTGCAAGTACGACTTCAGAACCTGATCAGCAATCGTAGCTTTCAAAAGCCGCTGTCAACTCTGATCTTATCAGAAACGCGTCCTTTAGATAAGGGATCATATATTCCTCTATTCTAGATATCGTATAAACATGAGACATGGATTATAATCATTCTCTCAGTCTATGTGTTGTTTCCCGATTTCCGATTTATGACGACTGACAACAGACTACAATTGAACACATCAACTTAGTCCCGGCTTGGCCAAGCGCTTAGGGTGTCATCACTAAATCATCGAGGGGCCCACATATATCGCTTTTATCCCACTTTGGGTAAAAGGAACGGATAAATTTCGACTCAAATGCTCGCTTGTACCTACTCATCAAATCACACACAACAATATGTTTTATAACACCAAGTTACTGGTGCGTTTACATATGTCAATGTGCAACCGACTTGCAAACTACAACTCACATGTCTCCGTTTCAAGAATATAAGATATTATCGTCTCACCAATCACTCGTGATAAAATCCATGAAGCGATCCAAGTGAGCGTGGGTTTAATTCAATACTCAAATCTTATTTCAGGAGTACTCATGAACACTGCATCAGACTTTTGCTATGTCTAAACGCTTTAGACAATCTACAGTCGGATTCATGACAGTCTAGCTTCAATACCTACTTCCAAAGTATTTATCGACTGTGGATGGTTTGAATAATCTTATTATTCAGGAAGTCAAAACATGAAAAGTGAAACACAAGAATAATACTAATCCTATATGGCCCCAGAGTTTTGAGTATAAATAAAACACCTTTATTTAATCACCATATTGATTACTCATTATTCATTGTATAATGTTTCGGATAATCAACTTATTACTTGAATTATAACAACACTTGTCCCATGCTTCAAGCATGCACACTATGTTTACCTATGGTCCTTACTTTTTGAAATAGATCTATTGAACACATTTCCAACGATACTCATTTCACAACTCCTAATCCTTGTCATAAGTGTAAGAATACCAAATTCTTGCCACTATTAGAATATGTTAGATTCTAACATTTTATGCAATTACCCCTTTTTTAATATCATAACACCAAAGTCACAAATACTTTGTCAATGAAATTACAAATCTCTCAATTGGAGATTGTTACAATACAATTCCATAGATACGAAGTCTCACATTCAAAGTACATTCCTTTGAACATCCTTCTTTGCATAAAAGTTTCTAATCTAGACATAGATTCTTAATATTCAACTCTAATTTATGGAAACATTTCCATATTTGCCATATGACAACTCATTATAGATAGAGTCCTATCTATTCATAATAATGTCAATATGGTCCATCCAATACTATACTTCCAACTGCTCTCAAGCGATCAATCTTTAGCGAACCTTAGATCGTCCTTGACAGTTGTTTAACCACCTTTAGTCATATATGGTTCCAATCCTTTTACCCTCTTAATGCCCTAGGCATTTGGAAATTTTTAGAACACATAAATATTATAACATATGCAATCGATCCTATACCCGAAGCGTATGGGACACGATACATAATGAAAAACATGATACTTTACCAGTTTCTTGCTATAATGTTGCCATATATATAGAAATTCCTCACGTTGAATCTTTTCAACACAACATTCATATATGTCTTTTGACTAAATTTGATTAAAATTTATCGATCTAAACTTTTAGATTTGAAATGAAGTATAATATTCTCTCCCTTAATTATAACAAAACAACTTTTCAACCCCTACAACTTTGCGAATTGAAACTTTTGTTTTCTATAATTAATATTGCTAACTTGCAATACTTATAATAATCATGCTCCCACTAACATGATAATTATATCCATACCAGCATAACACTTATGCTCCCACTAGCCTTGACATGTATTCAGAAATCAGCTAAACTTCTAGAAAATAATACTTATTGATTTTCTTAACCAAAGTTCATGTTTCTGATGTGAGATGCTTTGATAAGCCTTTATATAAGCTTCTCAAACTCATACACCTTTCCTTAGATAACTTATATGTGTGTCTAAACAATTTCAGCACTTACAACAATAAGTCTCAAATGTTTAAACTAATTGCCAAATCTCACAATTCGAACTATGAAGAGGGATGTCGTAGTCGTAATCGAATTTGAGAATGAAAATATCACAATTGCTATCTTCTTAAAATCTATCTTAGTGAAAGCGTTTCCTCACAATCATTTTCATGAAAATGGAGAAAACCTTATGACACTTAGATTTAATGTTGCATGTGTTCCTATCCATGTGAATTTGTCATAACCATAATCATAAGACAATGTTTGTGACAAATCCAACTCATATGGATAGAACTAGTTCAGCCTTAATTTCTTGCCATCAAGGGTCCTACCATTGCTTCCAAGTCTTTGAGTAGCTCACCCCTACCTGTTAATGTACTTTCCATTTATCATGGTGCCTTGCCTCTATGCAGTCAATTGAGAACTCATAGAACTCACATGCATAGTTGACTTAAACCGAAATGGCACAGAAACAAAATTATGTCAACACGACAGGTTGCAAACCTCAAGTAGTGTTCTAGTGATTAACAATAGGTCTACTCTTGGTTAGTTCTTGAAACTTTTTCAAGATCTTTAAGACTCCCACTGACCTCTTGACATATAAGATTCTCTTGTCATGAAACATTTCTTGACAAACAAATATCCAAGAGTTGGTGTGGATTCTTATCAAGATAAACACTTTGCACAATTGGTATTGGTTGGTCTTTGTCTTATCCAAGACATCACAACTTACCAATTTCAAATGTGCAAGAGTAAGAACATTTTTACTCCACATTGTCACTCAATTCACAATCTTGGAGTATGACTGTAAGACTCGATTTTGGAACGAAGTATGATTCACCTATTGATTTAACCACTTCAACAATTCCT